TAGAGAAAGCTATAGGATTATGTTTACGTCTAGAAGAAACAAGATGAAAGAAATATAACTTGTGGTATGGTAAGAGAGAAAGAAGAGGTGGATTTATAAATGTTCCCATCTACACGTTCCTACAATGTTTATCCTCATATCCAATCAGGCTACCCAAACTTATTATGCTTTTTATCCCACGAAAACGTAAAGAAACGAAATATTAAGTGATAGCTAGTGAATGTATACGATGTACGGCGTTTTCAGCCAGAACTAGCCGTATTTTAATTCAAGCTCATTCACAGTTCCAGCCTATACAGAGTTATAAATTCCATATATCCGCAATAGAACCACCCAACAAAGTCAATGGAACCTGAAACTTGTTACCAAAGGTCTTGTTTTCATTATATCACAAATGAAGATCCTTTCGCTTCGTCCTCGCTACATGTCGGTCACGCAGGATCGTCACGTGGTCAAGCGTGACGGAGCGTGACGCAAGGAAGGCCGCGACCGTGACCGCGACGTGATGCGTGACGCTAACTGTTCCACGCAACTACTCACGGTTGTATAATCAACAGGCTCTTCAATGGAACCGTGATCCCGACCAGTGAGGGTGACGAATGGACTTTACTGGTAGTCTTAACGCTGATAAAAGTTGACTTCCCATTCCCATGTCGAATCTGCCGTCAGTCTTGAAACAAAAAAGGATAGTTGAACTGACAGAGTTCGATGATTTTAGTCGCACAGGCCAATCTTTTAACCGAGAAAAAAGGAAAACTTTAGGTGGATAACTTAATTGGCTCATCGAAATCGAGCCTAGAGTGTCCATGTGCTACATCGCATGTCACCGGACGAGGATCAAATTACTTTTCGGTCTAGATTATAAATCACGCTATATAAAACTTGAGATACTGCATGTTCAACTACGTGGAACTATGTCGTAATCCACACTGTTTTTGCCAGATTTTCTGAATTTAGGGACCTTCAACAACACCAAAAATGGTTCATAGTGTAAACTTCTTACAATAAATAGTATTATTGGAAAGTGTGTGTTTCAAAACGAATAATTTTCTGCACAGATTTTTATTGTTTTTGCAAAATTTTAGTATATTCACCATACAAAAGTATGAATCATGTTAAAATAAAAGTGTTCAAAAACATCATAAATTCAATCTCAAATTGGTAGTTGTTGCTGGGTGGCTTTCGAACGGACATAATTGAGTTGCTGTTTAGTTCAGTGGTTTACTATAGAGAAAATACAATAGAGCTGATAGTTGCACGAACTATATTACTGCAGTGAACCAAGAACACTATTGCATTTTTTTCTGTGTTGAACCATCACACAACACTGTTATCATACTGCTTTTGTTTGTAGTACTTTTCAAAAGTCATTTATTTAATAACTACAATCCCAAGAGTAAACTATAAGGAAATTAATAATTAACATCCAATATTTTGTGATAAGAAATTTACTGCGTAAATACACAACCATAACGTTTCTATGTCTAAAATAAAAGTCCATAAAGTTATTCACTCAGTCTTTCATCTCCAGTCTTCAGTTTCTCAGTTGGACCACTCTCCAGGCGCGGCTTCGTCCCTTTCTTTCTGCAACTCCCGTCGTATCTTGATGTCCGTTAGTTTCTGTTTCTTCCTGAAGTATTTCAGCTGCTCCAGAAGCACCAGTCTCTTCAGTTCCTCAGTCGACAAGTCTCTGGTCTCCTCGGTCTCTTGCAGTCTACTTTTCCTTTCAGATTTGTCCATCAGAATCTCCGGTTTGACTATAGTCAGTGCTTGTCCGCAGTCCTCGAATGCCATTTGGTTGTCGGTGATGCTCTCAGAGTCTTCACTGAAGCTGATTGTGTCGCATTCAGATACCAACACTTCAGTTTTTATCTGGCCATTCTCTTGTGTACCTGGAACAATGCGATCATTGTTAGCTAATGTAGTAAAAGGGAGGTAAAGCAGCTCTTGTTTTAGGGAGCTATCCGCTTTGGTAAACAAAATGGCACTTAAAGAACGTTTCACCATAATGAAGGTTAGAGAATTGGATTAGAAGCGTGACAACAAAATAGAATGCTAATACATCAATTAACAGTTCAACATGCACCCCAAAAACTTTATAAATCTATTAACTTCAACAAAATCGTCAACTATACCTTTAACGTCTAGAAAATGCACAGTAGGGTCTCTCTCCATAAACTCCAAAAGCTCAGCCTCCCAATCCTTCAGGTTGACAATTCTGCCCAAAGCTCTCAGCTCCCCTTTCTTCTTCACCCTCGACTTCATGTTCTGCAGTTTCTTCCACACCTGGGCCTCGGAGACGTCGTAGTTGAGCTCTTCTTGGAATCTGTCCTTGATCGACATAATGGCGTCGGTTCGCTGCTTTCGGGCATCGGGAGTGTTAGACTTGTTGTTGAGGATCGGATACTGCGTCACCATGGCGACGAACTTCTTCATGTGGTCTAGAGAGAGGTCGCCGTCCGCCATGGCTGGAGATGGAGACGCGGAGTACGTCCTCCACACACCAGAGCAAGTTCTCAACTGAGGCGGAGTGGGAAGTTAGAGTGTGAGAGAGAGATGGTGCGCGCGCAACTGCAGATGAGCAGCCATTCGCATGGATGAAGTGCCTACTCCTACTTCCAGAATCCATCGCGCCAAACCTATGATTACTGTGATAAAGATGAACAACACCGGGAAGTAGTGTTTAGTTGCATATCATTTGGAGTTGAAATATTTTTTATGCTATAGAAGACAATGGAACCTAAATTATCTGTAAAAACTATAGAACGATTGTATACGTCATTTAGTTACGGTTCTTTCTTTTCTATGCTTGACGTTTCGTTAAGTTATTTTTTTAAATAGTGTTGTCGCTTTCCTTGAATAACTTCCGTCTAAAATCACAGTAGGCTATATAGTTTAGTGCATTTTGAGTTTGTCTTTAAAATATGTCAATTTTGTAATATTGCCAAAGGATTCGTGTTCATAGCATTTTTTATCAGATCGCAATTTACTGCATACACAGCAGCAAGTTATAATCACACAATTTATAAAAAAAACTCATTTTAAAACATAAAGCTTTGAAGATATGATTGTTTAGTGTATTACTATAATTAGCATATCTTTCATACACGTTTTTCATGCATTTAATTCCTTCCCTCCGAAATTCAGTAGTAAAACATGTAACACAGAACTACTTTTGAAAAAAGTATACTCGCAACTGTGAGAAGTAAAATAGTCAGAGGAAAGTCTAATAAGATAGTGTATTCAGGGCGGGTGTCCTAAGTAGGCATCAGTATTCGGCGGAGACTACCCTGGCTGCATGTTGGGTGGGAATTAACTAACAACTTTGTAGCTAAGTGAAGGAGTTGGACGGTATACGACACGACGGACTTTGCCTCACACGTGACTTGAAACTTGCCTTTGGAAACGTGCGGGAAATGCGCAAACACGGCTTCAATATCAATTTGAAGATACACAGGTTTTTGACGTTATTTGATGTGCTATGTACGGACAAATCAGCTGTATAAAGTGTGTTTGAGATGTTGAAAGCACGATTTAAATTTTCATTAGTATACATAACAAATGTCGAATTAATCATCTTTATGTATCCATTTTGTAAGGCGGAAAAGGGTTTAGTTATAAACATATTTTTCTTCACAATCGTAGTCGTCAATGTATTTTTTTTATTTAACTCACATCAAAATATTCGCTTTCCAACATCGACATAGACATTTTACCTTATTGAGCGGAGCGAGCGAAGCGAGCGAAGCTCTTATACGTCGACTCTTATGCATTTCGTAATACGCAAACTCCTCCTAGACGGCTGAATCAATCGTTTTCAAATTTTGCATGGTGATTCAGACCATATCGGTGAGTGCCAACATCTATATGGCGTTACAAAAGTCTCTCAGGAATCCGCCCCACTGGGTCTCAAAGTTTCAATGTAATCCTTATGGAAGCAGTATTTGACACATAAACAAAGACATATGATCAGCTGTTGACTTTTGAATGCAGTAGATAAAGAAATATCTAATAGCATTATTCCACAGATATTAGTACAGAAACGGTATGGATAATAAATATAATCAAATGACGACACTAGCTTGAGGTCCGTGACGTAGGAAGTGGTGAAGGAAGTAGAAAAAGTTAAGCAGTCTGGAGTGTGGAAACTGTTGATGACTATTAGATTTAGGTATCTGCATTCCTAAAATTCTATGGGAAGAGAGGAAAACGGGTCCTCGACGTAGGAAGTGGTGAAGGAAGGAGTCAAGGTGAGCTGACGAGCTGTCTGGAGTGTGGGAACTGTCTATGACGATTAGATTAAGGTATCTGCAATCTTAAAATGCTATTGAAAGGGTAGGAAACAGGTCCGCGACGTAGGAAGTGGTGAAGGAAGTAGTACAGGTGAGCTGTTCGGGGTATGGGATCCGTTTATTACCATTAGATTAAGGTATTTGCAATCCTAAATTCCCTGTGGAAAGGGAGGGAAACAGGTCCATGACGTAGGAAGTGGTGAAGGAAGTAGTTAAGGTGAGCTGTCCGGAGCGTGGGAACTGTTTATGACGATTAGATTAAGGTACCTGCAATCCTAAAATGCTATGGAAAGGGAGGGAAACAGGTCTGTGACGTAGGAAGTGTGAAGAGTGTAGTAAAGGCGAGCTGTCCGGAGTGTGAGAACTGTTTATGACGATTAGATTAACGTATCTGCAATCCTAAAACGCTATGGGAAGGGGGGGGGAACAGGTCCGCGACGTAGGAAGTGGTGAAGGAAGTAGTAAAGGCGAGTAGTTCGGAGTGTGGGATCTGTTTATGACCAATAGGTTAAGGTATTTGCAATCCAATAATGCTGAGGAAAGGGAGGGAAACAGGTCCGAGACGTAGAAAGTGATGAAGGAAGTAGTAAGGGTTGCAGTGCAGAGTGTGGGAACAGTCTTTGGCAATTGCATTAATATATTTGCAATCCTAAAATGCTATGGGAAGAGAGGGAAACAGATCCACGACGTTGGGGGTGGTGAAGGAAGTGGTAAAGGTGAGCAGTGTTGAGTGTGGGAATGGATTAATGTATCTGCAATGCTAAAATGCTATGGGAAGAGACTGTAGACTGTAGTTTAAAATTGTTACGAAGCATGAATCGATATATATTTTGATACAAGCAATCGTTTACAATAGAAATTTACAACTGAGTTGACAATAGCTGATTTTTACTCCATAGAGGCTAAAAAGTATTTTTACTCCCTAAAGGGAAATATGTTGGAATTTAGACCCACAACGCATGCATTAAAAACGACCGATTTTACTGCAGTATGACAAAAACAATAATATGAACCCTTGATGACTCCGCTCAATTTTGTGGATGCCTTTGCGAACGCCACCTAGTATAAATAAATTATGGATAGTGTCCGGGACGGAATTAAAGAGTATGTATTTTCATTATTCTAAAAATATAAAAATTGCCCAAATTAACCAAATGATAATCCTATTATAATTAAAGTGCCAATTTACATCGTGCTATTAGCCAAACAATTTTACATGAAAATCATGTTACAACAGTTTAATTATCTCGCACCCTCCTAATTGTTACTACTATTACTTCCGAAACTATTAATAATCAATCGCTCTGTTAATTAATGAGAGCTAAAATCGGTAAACTGATAAATATAAAAATGATTTTTGTTTGACTTATGTGTCGTTGACTTTTTAACTCACACATTTAATAATAACGCCTATGAATTGACAAAATTCCCACAATTGATAACAGAGACATCAAACTTCAACTCCATCCATTGTATATTTAAAATTTTCGTTCAGTAAATTGAAAACTTCATTCAAGGTCTGCGTATCAGAGACGTTGACTGAAGACAAAACTGTCATTGTATGATAAGTGATAAACTTTGATATTGTCACAGGAAGCTGGTTAGTATCAGAAAGATATCAGAGCGTGGTTAGTATTTTGTGACAACAATGTACTGTACTGTATTGACCGCTTTCGCTAGTGATTCCACGGTTGGCTGCTAGAGGCTGCTGCTGTCGCTGCCATTTCCCATTCTATTTCCCTATTTGAGTCACAAGTATTTCCATGTTAGTATTTTATTTGTGCTACTGCTAGTCTGAGTCATTTGTGTAGTGGGATGTTAATGCTTAGAATAATCATACGTTTAATTTATTCTAACTGAACTCCGACAATGTTTTTACGGAAAGTATATAAAAAATACGTCTTATTATAACACTTAAAACATTACACTTACAGTATAGTCCATTCATTGAGTTGTGGAAGTTCGACAACATTGTTTCAACACTTAAAACATTACACTTACAGTATAGTCCATTCATTGAGTTGTGGAAGTTCGACAACATTGTTTCAACACTTAAAACATTACACTTACAGTATAGTCCATTCATTGAGTTGTGGAAGTTCGACAACATTGTTTCAACACTTAAAACATTACACTTACAGTATAGTCCATTCATTGAGTTGTGGAAGTTCGACAACATTGTTTCAACACTTAAAACATTACACTTACAGTATAGTCCATTCATTGAGTTGTGGAAGTTCGACAAAATTGTTTCAAAAGGTTTTTTAACGGATTTCAATCTATATAAAATATAAAAGGCAAAGCCCTCACTGACTCACTCATCACTAATTCTCCCACTTCCCATTTACCTAGGAAGCTGAAATTTGGTACACTGATTCTTTAGGCATTAAATAGGAAAACTAAGCTATTTTTATTCTGATCGGACTCTCGGGCTCCGCCCCAGTGGCTCTGGAGTTTCCCATGTTAACCTTATGAGTACTCATATCTATATAATTAATACGCTACATGAAACTTTGTCGGTTGAACTCCTCCGCCATTTCTTAACCGATTTTATCCATTGACGTCTCATTGGAAAGAGCGTGTCGCGTAGATTTGCAAACTGGCCTTACATTTTTGAAAAAGTCCCTTGGGCTCTGCCCCCAGTGGCTTTGAAAGTTCCCATGTTATCCTTATGGAGAACATAATTGTTTACATTTTGATCAGCTGTATAATTTATTTGCTGTTATTTATTTTTCAATTCAAAGTCTTTTAAACTCATCGGAAATTATGATTATGTACTTTTATTTGTTTTTAAATAACTACTTTACTTCTTTGCAATTGCTCGATTTCGAGCAACGTGTATACTAGTTTAAATGGAATTAATGAATCTTAACAGCTGTTTCAATTATTGGTTCTGTTCTATGATGTGCAATTAGCATTTAAGTTACAAGGATTACCAACAGGGTGCAGCACACTATTATTTTTTTAAATTTATGACTAACAGACATCTAATTTGCAACCAAAAGGTGAGTGAGCGTAGCGAACGAACTTCAACCTGGAGGCGAGTTAGCGTAGCAAACGAGCTAACCTGAAGACAAGTGAGCGCAGCGAACGAGCTCCAACCTAAAGGTGAGTGAGCGTAGCGAACGAACTTCAACCAGGACGTGATTGAGCCATGGGAATGAGCTCACTTATGAAGTAAAACGGGGCAAAGCCCGCGGGTACAGCT